GTATACAGTTCAATGTCATTTTGTATACTTATGACAGTGTATAGGCATTACCTCTGCCTACTTTTACCAGCCCAGATGGAAACCCTGTACCCATTAAATAATTCCTCTGGCAGCTTTTTAATCTGTTTTCTCCAGATTTGATTATGATTCTGAGTTACTTCTGTAGTTAAAGGAAGTCATGTCTATTGGCTCTTATGGGTACAGGAGCTTTAGACCCTTCTCCTGCCTGATTTGTTCCTTATATCACATATTTTGCTTAAAACAAACAGACCTGAGACGTTTGTGAAAAGTTATACCATAAATAAGGATGTCTTCCATTTTGCCTCCAGAGCCATTCGTGACCCTTCGTGTTCCTCTTTGCTATGATCTACATAGGCTGCAACATGGACACTCATTCCTCTTGCTTCTACTAGGGTTTGACTACAGCAAATCATGGTTAGAGAGCATAGAAGGAAGGATCAGGATGTAGAAAGGAAGGACCAGTATTTTCCCCAGCTTCCTCTCTGTAGATACACTGGACTGGCTACAGCCCTTGGTTAAAGGTCTCAGCCTCCCCACTTAAGTCCTTTCCGAATCCCTATTCCACCAACAGTTCTATTATTTGTTTTCCCAGGCTTGGTAGTGTGTGATTCTCTGTTGTTTTTGGCTAAGGGCACTGCACTATAAACTTCCCACACCTTTGTAAATAGTTCCTTTATTAAAAATCATCCCCAGCTATCTTCATTTGACTTTATCTGTTATATGTTACTAGTTGGACCCTGACTGAAACATCATTCTGTATTCCATGTCTCTGTGAAGCTGTTAGTCAACATGATTTACTCAGAATCCTCTACAGAAAAGCAGCTTCAGTGGCTTCTCCCAGGGTGAGGCAGTACCTCCCCCAGGCTTTCCAGACATTGATAGCTGTTCCTGCTTTTAAGGTGCAGGGTCTTTGTGCCAATCCCCGAATGACACCAGTCTCTTCTAATATTTCATGATTCTGAAAGTGACATGTTTACTTAACTATTTCCCATGATATAGTGGCTGCTTTTGAGGGAGAATAACTTGAATTCAAGTCTTGTGCACTAATTATTCTTCAGCTATTGGATAAAGTCATGTAGCTAATACTCTGATACTATGTATAGTATATGTATATACTTTGTATAGGCTCAGAAGTTAAACAAAAGAAAAATATCTTTCCACATCACCAATGGCATCCATGTGTGTGTATGCACTCTGATGCATGAACAGAGCCATTGGAAGCTTTTAGATATGGGTTCATGTGATCTCAGGTACATTAAAATTATGTTAGGCAGGGGCTGGGAAGGTGGCTCAGTGGTAGAGCGCTTGCCTTGCATGCCTGAGGCCCTGGGTTCGATTCCTCAGCACCACATAAGCAAAAAAAAAAAAAAAAGCCGGAAGTGGCGCTGTAGCTCAAGTGGTAGAACGCTAGCCTTGAGCTGAAGAGCTGAGGGACAGCGCCCAGGCCCAGAGTTCAGGCCCCACGACCGGACCAAAAAAAAAAAATTATGTTAGGCAAAAGAATATGAATTGAATTTCTGTATATTCAGTGTCATTAGCATAATGCTTTGAATACCATGACAGCTAGTCATTCTCTTAACTCATTCCTTAAACAAGCGTCAGCAGGCACCTATTTGATAGATGGTTGCTGTGTCAACACTGTGGAGAATCTCAGTCATGAACATCACACAGGATCCCTGCTGCACGAGTTTACATATTTAATCAAGGAGCAATTAATTAACAGCTAGTTAAGAAATCAGTTGTTGAATTGCACATATTAAAAGTACTGTGAAGGAAAAGCACAGAACTCTATGAGGGTTGATAACAGGCAGCTTGACATGGTTTGCAGGTCCAGGCAGGAATGCCTGAGACATGGCATTCTAGAGCAGGAGTAGGGGTAGGGAGAGAGGAGCAACCCAGGTAAAAAGGAGCAGATAGGAGACAACTTAGGCAATTTCATAGAACTGAAAGAGGAGTAAGGGGGCTGGAGCAGAGAGAAAGGTCTAGAACTGACTGGAAGAAAAGCCAACTGATGTGGCAAGCAGGAGTTGGGTCATGCAGATCACTGTGCATACTAAAACATTTCTCTGTTAATGGACAGCTGTGGAAAGGTTTTAGGCATGGGATTGACATGAAAAAAAAACTTTTAATAGATGACTCTGGACTGGGTAAGATGGAGGGCACAAGAGGATCCAGGAGTGTAAAATGGTGGTTACTTAGATTAAATTAGCAATTGTGGAGACAAAATGGAAAAAGTGAAATTGAGAGTTATTTCAGAGGTAGGGTCAAGAGGAATTTTTGAGGATAGGGGTAAAGAATGAGTTGGCAGTGCCACTTGGGATCTACGTTGTGTGATGTAGTATAATGGGAGCTGTTTATGAAGAGAAGAAAACCAGGGGTGAAATTATACTTCAAATCTCCAAGCATCCATTAGGAGTGCCTCACTCAACCAGAACGGAAGGGTGGAGAAAATCAACCCCTAGTGATGAAAGGACTACTAAAACAGGCTGCAGGGGCTGACCTGAATTTTTACCAGAGAGTCCAGTTGAGGGGCAAACACCTGGGGCCAGTCACTGTAAATTTCAAAGTGCACAGCATCGTGACCAGTGAGACACCAAACAGAATGGCAGGAAATGAAGAGAGCACAAAAGCAGAATGCTGTCACTGGCCCTACACTGATGGCAGGACAATGGAGGAATTTATGCCTTTGCTTAGAAGGGTGAGCAAAATCAGAGAGTGGCAGCCATCATGGAAGGCTCATGGCCAACTTATTCATAGGCCTTGGGGTAAAGCAGCCTATTAGCTCAGATAAAAAGCCTTCTGGCTCTCTTCAACTATTATCAATAAGACTCTGCCCTGGAATTGGTGGGAAGATATAAAACCCTAATGTTCACTTTATAAAACCAAATTGTTTCAGTATTACCAATCATATACAGTATACATGAGAATCCTTAGCACTAGAATATATGTTATTGGCAAGAATGTTCTTATCTTTACCTTACTTAACAAATATCTTATTTTGTCTCAAAGTGGAAATGGCTCTATTGTATGGACATTTCAACTTCATGAATCACCGTGTATCACCTTAAGCCATAGAGACCCAGATTTCCTAGTTCACTATCTCAGAGTGGTGATAAAGATGTACTTGAGGAATCAGTAGAACTGCTTAATGAAGTCTCCAACACCAAAGCAGGAGAAAAACAGAAAAGTTTTATAGGCCAATATGCAATCTTAAAAATAAGATATAATAATCTCATGGTTGAGGTCAGAATGAATCAATAATAATAATAAATCACCTATATGCACAGCAGATGGCTTAAAATATACATTTTTGTCACAATAAACATCATAAGAAAAAGTAACATTTTATCAGTAAACAGTAAGGCATAGAAAAATATAGTAACTTGTCCAAGGTACCATGATGGAAATATTGTGTAAACAAGAATTAAGTATGACTATCTTAACCAGTATACAGGGCTATTTTTCTTAACCCACTATACAGGACTATGTTCTGTACTCACAGCAACCATAAGAGCTTTCTTCCTTGTTAACATAGCTATTAATTGTAGATCTTTTAGGTGTCAACCATCTCAGTGGCCACACACTGAGAATGCTGTGGTTGGCAAGACTTAAACTCTTCCTTCAGAATAGGCTCATAATCTGACAATGGAGAGAAACATGTAATCCCAACTTACTGTTGTGAAACCATCACATCATCTATCCCTCCTTTCTTCCTCACTCTTCTCTTTCTTACTCGGTGTTGGAGACTTCATTCATCAGTGCAGTTGTGTATTTTTATCACCAAACCACCAAACAGAAATAGTGAACTGGGAACTCTGTGCATCTGTGGCTGAAGCTCAGAGGATATGCAGCGATTGATGAAGTTGAAATGCCCATGTGAGGGAATCGCATCCAGTTTGAGAAGAAGCAGTAGAAGGAATACAGTGGGGTGGAATAGCACTGGAAAAGAACATCTTACCAAATCATGACTTAGAGGGGCTTCCTAAAATTGTCGATGTTTATATTGAATCCTTGAGCATGAATAAGGACTGAAAGAATGAAGAGTATTCCAGCCACAAGTGAAGCATATTTAAGGTCACTCCAGAAGGGCAGGTGACCCCCCTAAGTTACAATTAGAAAAAGAAACAGAGATTTGCTGGGCACCAGTGGTTCACGCCTGTAATCCTATCTACTCAGGAGGCTGAGATCTGAGGATTGTGATTCAAAGCCAGCCTGATCAGGAAACTCCGTGAGACTCTTATCTCCAATAAAGCACTAAAAAACTGGAAGTGGCACTGTGGCTCAAGTGGTAGAGTGCTCACCTTGAGCTGAAGAGCTGAGGGCCAGCACTTAAGCCCAGAGTTTAAGCCTCACAACCGACCCCCCCCAAAAAAATGAAGAAACAGATTTAAAATTCCACTTAGTTGACTCATACCTACTACTTACCAAGCTTAAGACATCATCTATACATCCTTTCATCGTCCTTATTTCCTTCCTTTCATTCTTCCTTACTTTCTTCTTTCTTCATTTTTCTCCATTTACCTCACCTATTCATCCATTTACCCCTCCGTTACCCTTTTCTCCAGCTACCTTTCCTTCTAATCATGTATCCATCCATCCATCCATCCATCCATCCATCCATCCATCCATCCATCTATCCATATATTCATAGTAGCTGCTGGATACTCATTGAATTAGTTTTAGGAGAGACCTAATATGTATCCATCACTGTGTCAAGCAATGAGCAAGGTGTTAAGATATGTGAGACATTATCCCAACTGTCATGAAGCTCAAAATCTTATTGGAGAGATTGCTATGTGCACGTTATGATCCAAGCTGGAAGGTGGGAAGGGTGGCCTAAAGGTGCCCTCAGAGGATGTTCTATAGAAGAGTACCAAAATTTCAATGATAAGATTATTAAGCTGACATCCCTTCTTCGTTTGTTGGCTTATTTTTTTTATTTCATCTTGTTTTCATTCCTGAACTTTATTCCTTGGCAGATTCTGTGGCAACAGCATCAGGGCCACTACTAGTTGAAGTTGCCAAAACTCCCGGTGCCAGCCTTGGGGTCGCCCTAACTACCTCGATGTGCTGTAACAAACAGGTCATTGTCATAGACAAAATCAAATCTGCAAGTATTGCAGACAGGTGAGTGTCATGGAAGGTGCCTAAATTTTTTAATTGCATGTGTGCTTTTTAAAATTCTGTGCATCTGTCCAACATGTGGCCTGTGGAACTAGACACACACACACACACACACACACACACACACACACACACACGTACACAGAAGCAAAAGCTCTTGCCAGTTTATTGAAATTTCAGGTAGGGAAACAAATTAATGTTGTGGGGCTTTAAAGTTTTAACTACCTTATCAGCCACCTTATGATGTAATGTTACTTCATCCAGATGTTTGGTGTGGCCCTTAGCAATAAAAAAAAAAAAAAGCAAGTCAAGACACCAAGGAAATTTTCTTAGTGCATCCTAGGGTAAAATGATTGCCTACTCTTGATGCAGAGTAGCTGAACTGATCTTTATTAAGCCTCACGCAGAGGAGTCACAGGGTTTCTCCTGCATTGTTAGCAATTAAATCCTGATACCATAAAATTTTATTCAGTTTTTAAAATATAGATAAAACAATGTTTTTAAAGTAATGTAGTCTTTAAGATCAGGTCTGATATTGTCATAGCATATTAATCTTAATGGTTTCACAACCAACACCATAATAAAAAATGAAATTTGTTCTTCTTAACTAATATTTTATGCTTGTAATGTAAAAAGTAAGGGGAAGGAGTTTTCCTGTGTATGAAATTATTTTACAGCTCCTAATGAGAAAATTCCCATCTCCCACTGAAGTACTCAGCTAAAGCATTCCTTGTACCATGGTATAATATTTTTAGACAGAGGGAACATCTTTAAATGTTTAAGGGTTTTGTGGGTATTTTTTTTTGTGCCAGTACTGAGGGATGAACTCTGGACCTGAACTCTATCCTAGGGCTCTACCATTGAGCCACAGCTCCACTTTCGGCTGTTTTTTTGTTTTGGTTTGGTTTGGTTGGTTTTGGGTTGGTTTGGTTTTTTGTTTTTTGTTTTTGGTTGTTGGTTGGTTGGTTGGTTGGTTTGTTGGTTGGTTGGTTAGATGGAGATAAAAGTCCATGGACTTTCCTGCCTGGGCTGGCTTTGAATAATGATCTTCAGATCTCAGTCTTCTGAGTAGTGACCTGCTCCCAGCTTTTGAAATGTTTTTTTGTCTTGGAAGTAGATAATCCACACTGGAAAACTGTAGGTAGACTCTAAAACAACCAGCACATTCTGTGTGGTTTCCACCCTTCCTCTCTGCTTGCTTGTACCCTGCCTAGAAATCCTCCAGACTGTGGCAGGAGCACCTGCATCATCCCTAGTAGAGGTTATTCAACAGCTCCACCTTCACGCACTGCTTTGGCAGTAGCAGCTATTGATCCCAGGACACTGTCTAGTTCCGTGGCACAGGATGAAAGCAGTCTCCCTCTGTTTTCTCCTATTCTGCATTGACTAACCAGTTTAAGAAGCTGTCCACTTGCCTGGTAATTAAAGACATTACCTCCTGTGTTAGCTTTGCTCAGCCCATGCAATAGCCAGTCTGTTGATTCAGAAAGATGTACCAGTGAGTCCTACCCCATCTTTCCCCTGGATTCACCATACAGGCCATTCTTTATTCCTCATTTGAACAATAAAATAAATAAATAATAATTGAGCCACAGTACTGGTGATTTGGGAACTTAAAGGAAGGGATCCTAAGGCAATAATAACAATCTCCCCAAGTTATTATCATTCATACATTATAAAAACCCCTACTCCAAGTCTATGAGTTACATCGAGATTCTGAATATGTATTGACTGGCATTTATAGGTAGGAGAGCCTACTAGGGAATCCCACAGAAAAAAAGTCAAGGGAAAATATCTCCCAGTCCTCACTCTTCCTCACTTCTCAGTCTACATCACTCCTCCAACATAAGACACTTTTTTAAGCTATATATTCATGCATTGAATAAATTCAATAAACAGATAAGCAATGATATAATAGGCAAGTATAAACATTATTAGGATTTCAGATTTTTTAAGAATAAATTTGTATTTATTAAGAATAAAATACTATTATTTTTCCAAAATATAGAACTGAATTTCAACAAAACAACCTAATAAAATAAGGCACAATGCTTAATAAGGCAATATTCACATGGGAGGTTAGTTAATATTAACATAAGACACTTTTAAATGACATTTTTCTACATTTTGTATGAGATTTCACATACCTAATTATACTTAAAGTGCCTAAAGTTTGACAGATGGTGCTTCCTGTAACACTCAAAGTTTCCTGTTTTTTTTTTTTTTAGTATAAATAAAAATGGTGTGAAAGTCTTATCTCTGAAGGAACAGAAATTCAGATTCCAAGGAGGAAGGCTTGTTAAGGTCCTGTTTGTCCTCTCTGTAGATGCGGGGCGCTGCACGTGGGCGACCACATTCTCTCCATCGACGGCACTGGAATGGAGTACTGTACTCTGGCAGAAGCCACCCAGTTCCTGGCAAACACCACCGACCAGGTCAAGCTGGAGATTCTTCCACATCATCAGACCCGCCTGGCCTTGAAGGGTCCTGACCATGGTGAGAGGAATACTCTGTCCAAACTCTTTTTCTTGTTCCCTCAAGAATGTACTGGCAGACGGCAGTGGCTCATTCTTTTAATCCTAGATACTCAGGGGGCTGAGATTTGAGGATGATAGGGGTTCAAAGCCAACCTAGGCAAGAAAATCTGTGAGACTCATCACCAAAAAGCCTAAAGTGGAATTATGGCTCAAGTTGTAGAGTGTCAGCCTTCGGTGAAAACTCTAGAAGATAGCACCCAGGCCCTGAATTCAAGTCCCAGTATAAGGACAGAGAGAGAGAGAGAATACAGAGAGAGAGAGGAGAAAGAGAGAGAGAGAGAGAGAGCGCACATGGGAAGATTAATGTCTTTATCATTTCTTTTCGAAACACCAAATTCAAAATGTAATTTGTCGGGAACTCCAAAAAGGAAGAGAAGACATCATGGTTTCCAATAGAAAATTTAGGCTTGTATTATTTGTATTTTTGTATCTTTTTTTGTATTTTTTCAAATCTTTGGTGCAAATTAAGTATGATGAGAAGGGGAATAAGCTGACTTCCTGTTATTCATGTTGAATGTCCAGTCTAGAGGAAGGACAATGAAGACGTTTATTTAAAAATAAGGTAGATATTAATCAATTACTTGATGGGGGACCCCATGCTACAAAGGGCTAGCTTCCCGAACATTTCTTCTCAGGATATTTTTTTCCCTTCAGCTGAAGGACAGACAGCCTGTCAGACCAAACTGCTTGCTGAGAAGAATCTGAATATTTCCCTTCATTCATGTAATAAAAAAAAATGTCTGTGGAAGGAATCTGTATTTTCACTGCCTTGCTGAGCATTTATATAGCATCCAGCTGGGCATCATAAACAGAATTGGGTCCAAAAAAAGACATTGAGCCCTAAATTGAATGAAGTCGACACATTAATAGGGTCTCTGTTCTGCCCCTTCTCTGTTCCTTACTGAACATGCCCTTTCTAAGCCTTGAAGCAGGAGACCTCACTGAACTTGGCAAGTCTAGCCTAAAAGCAAGGGTATATTTCTGTGTATGGAGAAAGAGAGCAAGTTGTCTCTAGCATTGAACTTTTGCTTAAGGGGAGATCATTTGTATTATGCATTCCCCACCTTCTGAAAAGCAATGCATTTCTGTGCAATTTTTTAAAAATGGCCTAGATAATTTTCATACTGAACGAGTCAGCTGGATGCAACCTTTTTAATTAAGTAGAGCTTAGACAGCCCTGGAGCTAATGAAAACCTCTAGTACAACATTACCCTTATCAGATTTTAATTTTACAAATTGGAGTAGAGAAATGATGCTCCATTGAGCAGCTGAGGAGAAGAAAATCGGTGTCAGTGACTACAGATGCCAGGGAACTCCAGGAGGTACAGCTCGGAAAGTGCCTGGCATTCCTACCAGGAAGTCTCCTAGGCCTCAGCACCCTGGCTGAGCAGACATCTCGGCAAATGGAAAGTGTCCTTTAAATTAATCTGAAGGTGGAAGTGAAGTTGTGGCTCAAGTGGTAGAATGCCAGCCTTGACGAAGAAGCTAAGCAAGAACAAAAGGTCCTTGAGTTTAAGCTTCAGTGTCAGAACAAACAGAAAAAAAAAAGAAGAAGAAAAAAAAAGAAAATATTTCATCTGAAGTTGCCATTGGAGTAGGTGCCTAGAATGTCTAAGAATGTAGCTTGGTGGTTTGCTAAATTCTGTTATTAGCCAGTCAGAACTGTATGACAAGCTCTTTTAAAATGCTATCATCTTTAGCATTTATTTTACTTTTCTTTGCCGTTTATGCAAATCATAGTTTCCAACTCATGAAATATTAAATATTTTTACCTGCCAAGATAATTTGAAAAGATGAATTTATATGCTAAAATGGATGGACCAAGAACACATTGTTTTATTCCCTTTAGAACCTGATTTCATTAATATCTGGGAGCAAGTAGGTTGACAATCTAAGTAATTCTAGCTTCCCATCTGACCCCATTATCTGCTCTGACTTAAAGTTGTTCACTATCTGCCTTATTTAGCATATAAGCCAATAAAATTAGATTTGCATTTCCAAAAGAATATATAACACTGGCTCCTAAAAATTAATTCAAGAAGAAAAATAATACAAAAAATATAGGCTGTGTTTGCAATTCTCAGACTTCGATTTTTTTTAATTACTGGAGTTTTTGTTGTTGTTGCTGTTGTTGCATAGTTGTACATTTTCCCACAAGAACATTCTGTTTATTTTTCCAAGATCTCTGATACCTAAACATGTCTCTCATCCCATGAGTGGACAGAAACATTTCCCAAATTTGATGCACAATGAAGCAATTGCCACAGCGACCCCCTACCCAACAATGTAGAAATGAATATCTCAACTCAGAAAACGAGATTAGCTGTGCTTTCCACAAGAAGCTGACAGGAATGAGCTCTCAGAGTTGAGGAGTCAACTCAACACATTTGCCTAGCGTCTCTGAGACTCTGGGTTTGATTCCCACCACTGGGGGAAAAATGAATTTTTAGTGAGGTTAAAAATTGTTCCCACTGAAGTCCTTTGGGAAACATAATCATGAGTGAAGGAAACGAGACTTTGGGAAAGAAAGTGTGGCCGGGATCTCTGAATCTGTCCCTCTGTGTCAGGAGGACTTTGTGGACTCCAGGGGCACACAACTGAGCAGCCTCTGCCCATTCTCTCTGCTCTCCTAGAGAGGCAAGTGGTTAGGATTCAGGGCGCAAAAGAGGGCACTGTCTGTCATAAACCTCAAAAATCACAGCAATGATGTGAATGGGATGATGTGGGAAGCCTGCTCTTTTCAACTTGGGAAATAGGATTATGCATGCATAGGAAGGGGCCATACAATGTGGTGGGTGAGGGCAGAGACTTCTAAACTATTAGGACATTCTGGCTCCCATTTGGGGGATCTTAAGCAAGTTCTCCAACTCATCTTTACCTCAGATTCTTCATGTGTAGAGGGGACCTTGATGCTAATTGTATCAGGAATGTTGTGAACATTTGCTGAGATAACCCATGAAAGTGGACTTCCCTTAGTGTCTGGTAGAGAGTAGGAATTTGGAGCAAGTATAACTTAATAAGATAATGTCTTTGAATGAATGCAAAAGATGGTGCTCAAAATGTAACTTCTTATTATATTTGCCTAATACACGAGTATCTGGTCACTGTGATAAAACACACATCAAAATAAGCAGTAACTCTCTTCTCTGTACCAGGTTATTTGTTGGAGACTTTTTACATTGTTATCCATGGCATACAATTTTGTTTCATTCTCTTATTGCTCTTCTCCCTTTATTATTTCATATATGTGCAGATTTTATCCATTTAACTTTCCTACAACAATTTGCACAGTGCCTAGGCACACAATAGGTAGTTAATAATACCTTTCTTAGAGATTTTTCATTTGGGCTTGACAGCCCTAATATTCTCTTGACTGCCAGTAATTTTCTAAGCACTCAGTAAAGAACTGGGTCAAGAGGTAGATGTGGGGTTATGTACTGTGTTCACCAGACCCTGGTGTCTCTGGAAATACAGGCAATACTTTGTTCAGAGAATCATAAAGTTTGTGGCTATAGATCAGCCAGACCCAGCAATAACTTCATCTTGCTAAAAGGATGATGTCTTATATAGGACCAAGTGGAATGAAGATGGTGAATGTCACTTGTGTCTTTCCTGTAACAATCCTCTATCAAGGGAAATGTTTCTGCAGTGTAGACACAGATACCCTTAGCTGACAACCCTGCTCGTTCATGCATTCCTTTTATTGACTCATTCCTTCATCGATCCTTATGTGCTAGGCACTGTTTTAGTTGCCTAGGATACATGTAGAGAGCAGGGCAGGCAGAGTAAATCCCTATTCTTGAAGAGTTTACATTCTTGCATAAAGAAATAAACATTAAAAATTTATTATAGAAAATGGGGCCATTTCAAACAGGGATAAGTGTTAGGAAGAATATAAATCAGCAATGGGATAATAGGAAAGAAGTTGATTCTCCAGCCAAGGAGTTCAGCTGCTGTTTTTCTGAAGAAGTAGTATATGAGCTGAGACCTGGCTGGTGAGCAGGGCCTGGTGGTAGGAACAGCTGGGGCTGGGAAGAGTAATGACCACAAAGACACTGAGGCAGGAAGGTGGACTGGCTGGTTCTAAGATCAAGCATGAGACCAGCATGGTGGAAATGGACGACTAATGTGGTGATGCAGGTGAAGCTAAAGATGAATTTAGGGACTGCATTCGATTCTTTTTGTAATGTTATTTAAAAGGGGAGTTAGTCCATGTAAAATACACAAACATCCTTGCTATGTTGTGGCTCTTGGCACAGGTGTGCAGGTTATGAATCAGGAAACCAAGTCAAAAGGTGTTACAGAGGTCTAGGTGAAGGAGACAGTAACTTGAACTAGGACAATGCAGAGGTGGGGGGTGGGGGAGAGAGAGAACAAAAGAGAAGAGGGAGACTTAAAAGAACCAACAATGGGATGAAGGAGAAGGCTGATCATTTAAGACTAAAATATTATGACAACTGTGAAAGTGTTCTGCAGATTTCTGACAAATCCTATAAGACTCAAGTGACCAGTGAGTGAAATTTATTATGGGAAAAATACATCTCTATTCTTTAAATAAGATACTTTATTGTTGGTGAGTAGGTAGAACTGTTGGGAATCGATACTATTCCTCGTAGCTCATTTATTTTTATTCTGCAGGCCAGCCCTAGGACGAGCCCTGTATGTATTCTCTCGACAGTCTTGCAGACTAGATGTTTATATCATCTCCTCTTATAGATGAGGAAAACGGAGGCTGGCAGAGGCTGAGTAGCTAGCAGAGTCATAAAGAGAGCAAGGACTTAGGCAAAAATGAAATCCTGATCATAGTCATCCCGAGTGGCCGGGCGGTGGTAAGGGCTGATGCTCCAGCTGCTACTCAGTCCACAAAGGATGCATAGGGCAAGGAAGCTGATTATGTGGCTGGGAGAAATTAAGCTTCTTGTCTACATGAGCCTGCTTTAAATGTGTACAGAGTGAGTAATAGGTATGTGAATAGCTTTGAATCATTCGCACGTCAGATACTTAGTATGGCAATCACAAAAGCAGGAAAAAATAGAAATTCACAGTTATGTTTAACTATTTCAGATTGTTCCGTGAAAGACTGAACAATCTAGTACCAAGCATGAAATGACTCATATTTCACAACAGTTGACAGGAAAATCCTTAATAAGATTGAAATTTGAATGGAAACATGATGATATTTTTAAAGAATACGAGGGACACCTAAACTTTGTTGCAATTTTATGATGTCTTAAGGAAATTAAAGATGGTGTGAAGTATTAGAAGAATGAAAGATTACTGATGCAAAGATGCTTTTTTCAAAAACAAAAGTCATAAAATATATTGAGACTTTTTTTCTTCTCTTCATTAGTGAGGATACAGATCAGATTCTGATAACGACAGATGATTAGAGTCCTTTATTGCTGAGGAACATCAAGTGCACATGATATATGATGGTGTGCTTAAAATGTCAGGGCAGTAAATTGTGGTGTATAACTAGGAAACCAGTCGAATCAGGAGCCAATGTGATTTATTGTCTCTTCTTTCCTTTTTCTCTAAACAAGTGCTACTAACTGGCCAAGACTTGCATCCCTTTAATTACTAATTGTATGCCATAGATCTTTATGGGGCTGACTTTTAAATTTAAAAAAAATGTTTTTAATCTTTTCTGCAAATCACATGGGGAGATTAGGCATTGATTCAATAGTTGTCTTAGAAGGAGGGGAAAAAATGGGCTGGGAAAAGGCAGGCATTATTCCTGGGAAGATGAAAACTTTCCATCACTGATGTTAATCATCTGTTAATCATCACTGATGTTAACCATCTGTTTTGCTGACCACTAAGAAAAGGGCAAAGCCAAGCAGACTTTTTTTCTTTCTTTGCAAGCAGCTTTCATTTTTGTTACATTTCTTTTAAAAATTTGTGCAATTCAGTTACTTTTTTTCCTCTTTTTTTGTTTGTTTTGTTTTGTTTTTCCTATTTCTCATCATCACTTCATATGGGCAGTGAAAATTCAGAGGAGCGACAGACAACTTCCCTGGGATTCCTGGGCCAACAACCAGTGCAGCCTTCACACCAACCATCACTGTAACACGCACCACCCCGACCTCTGCCGAGCACCAGCCCTGACCCTCCCGAAAGCACCTCCTCCCAACAGCCCTCGTAATGTTCCATTCCTTCTGCTGCCTTTTACTGAGATCCTACTCTCCTTCATTCCATCTTTCGTTTCCAGGGGGTTGATTGGCGTTTTGTTTGTTTTGTGTTGTTTTTGAGTAACAGCATGTTATTTGCAGCACCCCCTACATTTTCTTCTTTTCTGATAGAATTTCTCATTAAGACAGGATGTAAATGGCCAGAATGCTTCCTTTTCAATTCAAGGAAGATCAGGAATATTATAGACTATGGTGCCCTAAGATCTTTGTGTATGTGAAATCACTTAGGAAATTCATGTCAGAAAATACCTATGCAAATGAGATCACCTATCTTAGGCCTTGTGTTGTCCTGTGGAGAAACTTGTTTTAGTACTTGTATTCATTTTGTTCAATGCAAAATTCATAAAGTCTCTCTGTGCTCTAATGTGTGTGAGGGCCCTGCTCCTCCTGGACCCATGTAAATGGCTAGAGCTATGAGATTTCAAGGCACTGACTTGCTCTCTCTCTGGTTGAGGCAGCAAAGAGGCATGGCTATGTATCATGTATGTCTTTCTGAGTTTTGGCTGGGTGGCAAGTTTGGCAGGCTCACGCTTCACCTGGGGAGTGTTTGGTGCCAAGTGTTCACTCTCTTCCAGCAGCTGTGGTGTCTTCATCCTTCTCTCCTACCTCCATGAGTGCATACAGCCTGAGTTCCCTGAATATGGGCACTTTACCTCGAAGCCTCTACTCTACCAGCCCACGAGGAACCATGATGAGGAGGAGACTGAAAAAGAAAGACTTCAAAAGCTCCCGTAAGTGAAATGTCAGACCCCCTTAGCCATTTGTGCAGAAAATACATGGGCATTGGTAAGTACATTGGTGTACTGAAAGCTACGGGAGAAGGATCTTAAAGGCCTACGTCATCAGGCAGTTTCTATGAAACCCACAGCAGAAGACCGTGACATGGAACTCATAGTCTATCTGAGAAACATACCTTGAATATAACTGATTTTGTGGATATGAATGAATTAGTTCATACAACTTTTTTTTTTTTGGGTCCGGTTGTGGGGCCTGAACTCTGGGCCTGGGTGCTGTCCCTCAGCTCTTCAGCTCAAGGCAAGCACTCTACCACTTGAGCCACAGCGCCACTTCCGGCTTTTTTCTTTTTGCTTATGTGGTGCTGGGGAATCGAACCCAGGGCCTCAGCATTGCAAGGCAAGCGCTCTACCACTGAGCCACCTTCCCAGCCCACATACAACTTTTTGTTGTGAGTTTTTTCTTGCTCTTTAGTGATGTGAGATAATCAAAGAATGGTGTTTTTCATTTTCTTTTAAGTTGCTTTTGTATTCTGGATATCTTTGGATGCAAACGTTTGTTCTTTCTTTCATATTCCTTCTAAAGCAGTTTTGTACAAACTCTGTGACTCTTTTGATAAATGTAGGAATCTCATACTCTTGTTCAATGTTTATTATAAAGTTCATTCCAAATTTCTTGACCTTCTTCCAAAAGGCAATGATACATTTGAATGTTTCTTTTCAAAATATATCCCATTCTCCAAATTTCCATTGCTTCCTGCATGAATCTAACCTATTGAGATTTCTCTCATATAGATTTGTTTTCTTCTTTCATCCTCAAACTTGTTGAGCAGCTAATGCTTTACCACTTCCTGCTTCTAGGCTTTACCACTTCCTGCCTCTATCCCTCTTTTTACTAGCTATCTTGGAGATTTTCTGTCTGGGATAGCTTTGAATTGCAATCCTCTGGATCTCAGCCTTCTAATTAACTTGGATTACAGGTATGAGCCACCAGCACCCAGATTTATGTGTATTGCTTACTACCCTCTTCAGCGTTGACATTGGAAGAGATTATGCATGATTCCTTGCACTTGTACTCCCAATTACTCAAGAACCATGGGTAGAAGTAGTTGGTCTGATAATGTCCTCAGTCAAAAAGTGAGACGCTTATCATTTAAAAAAAAAACAACAACCTGAAAGCAAAGAGGGCTAGAGGCTTGACTCAATTGGTAGGGTGCTTGCCTAGAAGATCCTAAATTCAGGGCTGGGAAGGTGGCTCAGTGGTAGAGTGCTTGCCTTGCATGTATGAGGCCCTGGGTTTGATGCCTCAGCACCACATAAGCAAAAAAAAAAAGCTGGAAGTGCTGGAAGTGGCACTGTGACTCAAGTGGTAGAGCGCTAGCCTTGAGCTGGAGAGCTAAGGGACAGCGCCCAGGCTCAGAGTTCAGGCCCCACAACCGGACCCCCCCCCAAAAAAGATCCTAAATTCAAACTCCAGTGCCAATAAATAAATAAATATGGAAAAAAAGGATGATGGTGGGTACTGGAAGGATGTTCATCTTTTTAGATTTATCCTGAAGTCTAATAACATCAACTATCATTCTTGGTAATACTGCCTTCTGGGACAGCTAGGTACAAATAAACAAGAGAGATACTTGTCTACTCACTTTAAGATAGTTGGCTATCTGCCTATAAAAGAAAGAAAAGAAAAGGAGTGACTGAATGTCTTCAAAGAGAAGAAACACAAATCATTCCTAAATTTTCTTGGCTTTGGGGAAAGATCATCATCTCTCCTCGTCATTGCATTTCTCCTGAGAGAAGGCAACATAAGACCTAATCACAGTTTAGAAGAGTGTGAGTAGTTCTTTCCCTTGTAGCTGGGATTGTAATTCCTGTAAAGAACCCTAAAGAAGATGAGTTTCTTCCTGTGTTTACCATACAAATAAAAGTAAGGAGCATTCATAAGGTATCTAAATTAAACCAAACCTGGACACTTCCAGGCTAGCATTGACAAGAGAATGTCTTTGTGAGGAGGAGTGATTGGGACTGTTAGTTTTGTAGCTTATTAGCTAGAAATTGATCATTTCCCAAAGGGTTTTTCACAAGTGCCACCAGTCCCACAAACACTGTGGAACAACACATGTCACCCACACTGTGAATCAGTTTCTTCATGGTATAAATGCCTAAAGTTTTCCTTACACAGAAAGCCACAGCAAAAGATGGGGCCACCATCTTGATTTGTGCTTGTGTTATTCACATGTTTTGACTTCCGTGTCCTATCAAGTGTAAGAATATTTTTCATCTGTGGTTAGCCAGAAAGAAAAAAAAAAGGAGCATTAGAGTCCTATTTGTTTCATGGCTGAGATTAGGGTATGTTGTTTACTCTTGGAAGAAACCAGTTGCAGGCAATGTAATGAATTGGTTGTGAATCTAGAGACCTCTCATCCCAGAATCATTACTTTCCACCTATAGTACCTTCAGCAACTTTCTTAAGCTCTCTTGGATCATATGAGATGAGGTGCATGTGTGAATATACAATGACTGCTGATAATTGGTATGATTTAATCATTAGCTGAACTGTATAGTTTATGTTAGCCTGACTCTGAAATGTCACATGTAAAAATCTGTTGACATTGCTTTCACATTGAGGCATTTTTCTATAATGGCTATACTGCTGCATGATATGTAGGTAGACCTTGAGTCTTCCATATAATACCTTCAGGTCTTTAGGTAGATAGTTGCATATGAAATTTTTATGTATAATGATTTTAGGCATACTACTCATCACTGGCAGAAATAGGCTAGCAGTCCTCAGCAGGAAGGAGCAATTAAAATGAACTTATTAATGTTTGTACTTCTGCTTCAAAGGCTAACCATTTGTTTGTGTTAGGTAATGCTTGCTGTGTTGATTAAAGCCATTAGTGAATAGAAATGAATGATAATATGTTTGGATGTCGCAGGTTGGTATTTACACATCTTGACTTTTGTAGTAGGAATAAAGCTGAGGCTATGATCACTGATGCCCATAGCTAACTTATGAATTCTCTCTCAAATCAGCCCATTATTTTCTAACATAGAACCAGAAACCTGGTTCAAGAAATTTCTACTTTATGTTTTTGTAGACATTTGTCACTAAAGCACTACTGATAATGTACATAAAAAGATCTTTATTAATGTGTCTCAAAAGATCAAGTATTTTATATTTAAACCAAACAATAGAGCCCAAAATGATCAGAACTTTTATACCCCCCTTTAAAAATAGTCTCAAAAAATCAGACCTTTTCAGATTAAAAAAAAGTCTTTTGTTTTATTCCTTAAGTTTTGGAATGGTTGCATTAGATATAACTGTATTTCAAGTAACTTGGAATAAAAATTTTACTGCCACTTTCACTATACCCTGGTTTATTTCCCCTTCCTTATTTACGTCTTTATCCTATGCCACCACCTCCTAATAGTTATGTTTCTATAGCAACTGGGTCATTTGTATGGATGGTGAATCATGGCAAAAGTCACAAATATAATAAAAAGTCTCTGTGCTATATTGGCGATGAGTTACAACCAGAGGTTGCAAAATAGGAAAAAAGAAAATCTCACATGTGCTTCCAGTACTAAGGAAAGACATGGCCAGCAACAAAATATTCTTACATAAATATTAAAACCTATGTAACTGAGCAAAGAGGGAAATACAGAAACTCTGTAACATGATATAAGGACTGAACCAGGAAGGTGTCATGTTTGTTTCTCAGGAATAATGATGAGTTCACTAAGCTTTGAGGAGAGTCACAAAGCCCTGGCAGGGCTGCAAAGCCATGTCACAGAGGAAATTCTCTCCCTCTCTCTGCTGGAATCTCACTGCCTTTACTGACTACTCTGCCCCATTTCCTGCCAAAGAGACCAAGTCTCCTTCCAGAATCCTGTCACCCTACTGTCATGGCAGCATGATTGAGCAGTGGAAGTAGCTCAGACCTTTCTACACAGAGCCAATGCACAGTTTGTAGCTGTTTCTTCTAGTCTTGGATTGCAACAAACAGAAGTCAGAACATTTTCCCAGAATGTCCTTTGCTTCTTGGGTCACCATCACTTGATACTAGAAAGGGTGACGTTGAAAAGAGCCAAAAGGAGGAAAATGAAAAAATCTAGTAATTCTTCTGTCCGCTTCTATCGACCCCTAAGAAAACAACAGAAGACAAAATCTGCTTATGGTAAGATTCCATAACTAACTTGTACAGGGAGCCCTCAAGTGGGAGCTGAGAAGCTGCCTCCCACCCACCCTCATATCCCATATGAAAAGGAAGTTATTGGCCACCTGTCCTGTCCTCCTGAGCCAGACTATGTGATTCATATCACATTGGATCTGTTGTAGTCAACTCTAATGTAGAACATTAGTGAGACAAAATATCAAATAGCTGGGTCAAATACTGATAAGCTTTCAGGGACCTGTTATGATGGGTAGTTCATCCCAACTACTTGGGAGGTGAAGGTAGGAGGATCAAAGTCTATGGCTAATGTAGCAAAAGCATGAGACCCCCATCTAAAAATAATACAAAAGGACTGTGGACATGGATCAAGTGGTAGAGTATTTTCTCAGCAAGCGTGAGTCCCTGAGTCCATAGAACTACAAAGTTACCTAACAACTAACTAACTAGATGATTAATTCATTAATCGTTTTGGGCTTCTTATTCTTTGTGTTTTTTATATCTGATAGGAAACTTTACCTCATTAACTTACATATCCAAAGTAATATATCTCAGTCCCTGTGTTAGGCCTTGAAATGATAGGCTAATCACTCTCTGCATACAATTTAGGATTAGAGGTATCTCTCCTCTCACCATCCTCCCACACAAGCACAGGCTACTTTATCCATAACCCAACCTTGTCAGAATGATGATGGTGCCTATTAAAAAAAATAGGATTTTTTTTCTTAATTTACCTTGTTACCTTCTCTTATCCTGTCTTCAGTGATCTACCATGATAGAAAAGTTCGGGTCCTAAAGAATGACTTCTAGATCTTTATGGCAGTATCTACAGGAAGTGTCACTTCCAAAAAAAATGTAGATTATGACAACACAAAATAGTTCCTTATTTATTCAGAACTTACTGTTCCAGGCATTAAGATGTCAAAAACAATCTTGGAATGATCTGGAGACTCAGTCTTTTAAGAACTGGAGTCAAATGAACAGATGGGCAGACAAATAAGAATTTGATAAACACTGATGTAGGCCCATGCATTAAAAATATGGAAATATAGATAAATGAGTAGCTAATTCCACTTTCATAAAGAGGGAAAGGGACATTGAAAACTCAGGGGAGAGACTAAGGGGCACAGGGCACAGCACATTTAAAGACAAAGGTGTGCAAATAAGCCTGGAACATGTGACACCGGAAGGACTGTCAGACTGCCTGGCAGGACAGGATGAAATAACAAAGAATCATCCCATGTGCACGACTAGAATTGAAAGGTTTGCTTTACTGGAAGGAAGCCATGGGGATATTCTAACTGGGGAGATGACCTTTGCCTATTAAAAAGTCTTCCATCGAAGTAAGTTGGAAGCTGATTAGTATAAACATTAGCAAGTCCATATAGTAACTTGTATTCATGAGGAGAAAACTCCAATCAAGAGGAAAAGTTCATTTGGCAATAATATGTAGAAAACATAGGGCATGAGAGGGCTCAGCAATGGATGTTTTGGGATAGTTGAAATAAAAAGTAATGAAAGCTGAATTAAAGTACTGAAAGTAAACAAATTTAGCAACTGGTGTGAACTTGAGACAATAGGAAGTTGTTCATCCAAGGCCATCAAAGATGGGTGCTTTAAGGCTTTGAAAATACTGACTTTCAGAAGTCATTGAGGTACATATTGGGTTCAAGTATCTTAGGAGGTAGAGATAGGAAGATCACTGAGACAAGCTCAGACAATAGCATGAGACTCTATCTAAAAAACAGAAAAACAAAAGCAAAAAAAGCTGAAGGCATGAATCAAATGGCTCAATAGGAGAGCGAGGGAAGGAAGGGAGGGAAGGAAATGGGAAAGAAGGAGATAGAACAGAAGAGAGGGGAGGAGTAGGGAGGAGAGCTTGAAATTTAAGCAACTTAAGATGGATGCAAATGACCTATTAGAGATATATTGGAAATGTCCAAAGGTAAGAATAAGAGAACCTAGGAGAGAAGCAGGTATGAGTCTTTATTCCTTATACAGAAGGAAGAAAATGAACTGACAACAGCAATAAAGAAGAAAACTTCATGAAAACCTTAAAAACAATTTCAGAAAAGAAGTGCTGGTCCTGAGACCAGTTGCTGTAGAGTATTTAGAGTGGATGAGGCATTGATTTCTGGACAATCAGGAAGTTACCAATGACAATGGTTTCAGCAAAGACTGATGGAATAAGCCACATTTTAAGCAGTTTCAGAATCAGTATACAGGGGCTGGGAAGGTGGCTCAGTGGTAGAGTGCTTGCCTTGC